AGTAGTAGTAGTCGTCGTCGTCGTCGTAGTGGTAGTGGTAGTGGTAGTGGTAGTCTAGTGGTAGTGGTAGTATTGGTGGTAGTAGTAGTAGTAGTAGTAGTAGTAGTAGTAGTAATTAGTAGTAGTAATTAGTAGTAGTAGTAGTAGTAGTAGTAGTAGTAAGTAGTAGTAATTAGCAGTAATTAGTAGTAGTAGTAGTAGTAGTAGTAGTAAAGTAAGAGATCTTACACATACACATGCATAGAAATTGCTGTATATTTACACGTTGTTCATCTGCAGCTCCAATTGCCTGGGGCAGCAGGCAAGCGCCCACAAGCGCGATCAGCACGGCCAAGATGCCGAAGTTGTTGCTGGGGGACCACTGCATTGGGCCCGGCATGAACCTGGAACCCAAGCAAGGACCGGAAGAAAGGAGTATTTGCATAATGTGGCCATGGCCATTCTCCCCATAACAGCCGTTACCATCATCAACATCAAGACCTGCAGCACGATGAGCATCGTCAACATCATCGAAAATCCATTATCATTGACAGCATCACCACCATCGTCATCACCACCAGCATTGTCATCGTCGCCACTGCCATCCTCATGAGGATCATAACCATCACCGTCACCATCACCACCACCATTACTCGCTGCCACCATCATCATGGATCCATGACCACGTCACCACCGCATCACCGTGACGACGATTGCAACCAGAGTCAGTCATCACCATGAAGCCCGAATAGACCTTTACTCACAAAGCGAACTAAAGGGAACTTGTAAACGTTCTTCTCCCAGCGGCATGCACCGAGCCACGCCGCCCCCTGCAGTGTAGGAGATCGCCTCAGTCCAGTTTCGGGCATGCAGGGAGGTAACATAGGCGCCCGTTTAGCAGACTCGGGTTTTAAACGAATGGGGCAATATGATACTACAATCTAGCAAAGAACCTTTCGCCCTGAAGTCATCGACACATGGCTGTCCAAAGGTGGCATATTGTATTGCGTTACTGCTACATTATTGCCTTATTTCACACTGTATGCACGTGCGGTGTACAAAGATGTATGTGCCGTTTTCATACAATTCTGCCAGTATGTGTGCATGCCACATTTCACATGGTAACTTCGATACACACATGTAGCCTTCCTTATCAATATCTGCAGTAAACCATCTGTGTTCGACATCAAGATGCATGCACCGTGTCTTACGTGAGGTTTGTCAAGCAAAACACCACCCCGAAGCCCCCAGGTGGGAAAAAACTGCGACTCGCTGCACGTATCAGATTGAATTGTGTACAATGCACATCGCATGACCAAGTGTTTTGTATAGGTGAGATGATCTTCCCTTACTATACAGAATCAAGCAAGCTAGCCTCAAATATATATATATATATATTGCGAGTTTGCTGCGATATTTCACAGCCCATACGCGTTCCTGTATATTGTACTTACGCATGCCAAGCTATGCAGTGCAGACGAACAGTTGCAACGCATGCAACAGGCAGTGTTTCTAAGAGTCATATTAAACGAGCAGAGTAGCACAACTTAAGCATGACATAGTGCAGCAGAGCCTGAAATAGTACATCACACCACAACACACACACACAAGATATCACAAGAAAACATTACGTAGCATGACAAGCAACACCGTAACATACGTAGGATGGCACATGATGGCACAGACAAAGTAACCTAAAACGATGCAGCAGGACAGAACAGATCGTGTGGTCAGCATAATAAGGATGCTAGCTACTAGTTGAGGTTGAGCCAAACGGGAAGAGGAAGGAGAGGCACCCTAAACAGTAGTAACAGTAGGATCCTTGTTCTCAACACCCCTGAATACGGTACCATCTTCTGAAACTCCCTTCTAGGAGATCCACCCTAAAACCTAAAGTCGAAGGCCCAGCCACGGCCCCGAGCAGGCCAACGACAATCAAGCCCCCGAGGATGCCCAGCCTTCGGCACTTGGCTTTGGGACATGGGGACTTCGGGGGTTCATGGGTTATAGGGTAGAGGGAGTAGACGGGGTTCTAGGTGCGTGGTTCAGGCGTGGAGTTTCTAGGCCCAGGACATCTAGCGAGACATGGTTGCTGCTTTTGCATGGTGATTGCCGTCGCAGGGGCTGACGACGGCGATGCCTGCAACTGTGGTGGTGGAGGTGGTGGCACTTGCGAACAGCGACCCACCTGATGATGCACTGAAGAGGATCATGGCAATGGCCATGACTCAGACCGTGGCAGTGATAACGAAGAGAACAAAGGCCAGGTGGTACTGTTGCTGTTAATGAAGACGCTCATGTCGCTGACATTGCTGATGATGATGAAGATCATTATGCTGCTGTTGATGCTGTCAGTTGTAACATTTGCTTCGGGTTGGGGCTGAGGGCGACGGCTGATGCCGATGTGCTTCGTTGTGGCAGATCACAGGATCCCCAAAGCACATGGCAATGACTTCAGCTACCCTCTAGTATTATGTGATAGCATTGGCTTTGGTACATTGGTACGAAGATTATTGTTACAGTACAGTTAACATTGCTATCAAGGTCGAGCCACGTCCCGTAGTCCAGCACCTCCGCGTCGGTGAGGCCCTCGGGCTCTGGTGGCGGAGTGGCCGTCGCTACCTGGGTTGCTGTTAAGAAACCTCAAACTAAGTTACCGTCGTAGGGAAACCCCATTATTTATTACATATATGTGCATTATGGAAGCTGAAACTAAGTTACCATAATAAGGAAACCTCTTATTTACTATATGTCTCCAGTATGGTGACTTCAATTCAGTTCCTTAACAGCAACCCAGCTGCGCCATCGCAGCGTGCAACACCCACGAGTTCCGCGGAGCCCTCAGCCAAGCACCTTTCAGACTTATGGGTAGCCCTTTCAAGGTTCCTTAAAGGGATCTGTAAGGAGTTCTCTAAATTAGGGTACCTTTTTGGGATCCTTTTTATAAGGGTGCCGTGCTGTTTTGGGGACCCAAAGAGGGAGCCTACTTCGGAGAGCTACCCTTATCGCGCAGCCAGGGTCTCTGGGGGGTTACGCTAGGGGCAGGGGAGCGAAGACATGCCGAGGTTCCGGAAGTTTCCAAATCTCTCCCAGGCCGGCTGGCCCAGGCTGCCTCCATTTTCAATGCAGACTGTACCAAATCCGCAGGGAGCCCACCAAGTCTCATCTTCCAGGTCTTGCAAGCACCCCGGCTCCGGGCCTGACGATGTGCAGGAGCTTTCAGATGACGAGGCTCAGGAAATCTTCATGTAACAGATGCTCTCAGACCTAATTCCCCACGCCCCATAACATGCCCTTAACATGCTCTTAATGGCCTGAACGAGGACACTGCAGCTGTGTGCAACTGCCAACCAGGACGTATCCGTCATCACACATGGGGGTGCAGACCCCTTCAGGTGCCAGAGTCGTGAGCGTGGCATTGTTGTCATCTACACACTTCCCGTTTGCCACAGTTGGCACCGCACAGACCGGGGGCTCTGACGGCCAGCACCAGGCAGCCCGTGCAGGAGAGTGAATGAGCGGGACTTGCACTAAGACCGCGCCGAGCAAGGCAGCAACTGCTGCAGCGCGCTCTGACATCTCTGCTTCCCAAAGGCCAGAAAAGACGTGTCTCTGTAAGGCTACCACAACTGCTTCCACCTTGAGCAATAGGAGTTGGACGGGATGACAAGCGCGATGTCTCAAAACAGCACGAACTCTCAATCTTCAACCACCCACTTCCTCCACTTTTAGCAGCGAATCCTGCAGCTGGCTTGTTCGTCGGCTTACCAACGGCAATAACAAAGAACTGTGTTTGTTGCAGCTTTTGTGAACTTGCACTGGTGGCCAACTAAACACCCAACAACCCACAGATTAGCAGAGTTAGCACTACCATCGCTACTGCACTCCAGGATGTAGCACCTCGCTACAGGCACTTCTGAAGGAAACGAGCAACTCCCAAGCTCGCGGCTCCTTCTGCTCCCTTCATCCACACTCGTACATACTGAAAATGTAGCAAATATCCCGAAGGCCCACTGCCCTTCGAACCGCTTGGATCTGGGCCCCACACCGGCTCCTCCCGAAGCGCAGCCATGCGCCTCGCAGCTGCCTTCAGAATACACACCGCCAGAAGATGCCGCAATTATGGAGAGTGCGGAGAATTCAAGGCCGATTTTAGGGCTTTGGGGGTCTCTCTTCGGGCGGATCTGGGCGATTCGGTCTGAAAGGCTGCCAATCACCGGTTGTTGCTGCTCCAAGGGCTTCGATGCAAGATGGGCCGAGCTGCTAAGGGAAGCTGAACTGCAACGTGGCAGTCGAACAAATGCACTATTGATTTACGGAGAAGCCCCCTACATCAGTCCTTCAAACGCGCATACACCTTGGAATCCAAATTACAGACCCGAACCTGACGGCCAAAGCCCAATGATTTCAAATCAGCTGAAAGCCTTCGACTGCCACTTCTTCTGCACCTATGGGTTCATCATCCATCATCATCCATCATCATCGTTCACAACACCAACGTGTTGATTCCTCTGTGAGGTTGCGGGAGACACTGTGGGGCAACACGTCTCCAGGAAGCTGATGCGGGGTGCGTGTAGAGGATCATTGTATGGTACTGGTTGTGCTCAAGAAAACTTGCTGGAGCCAACCGTGGGTTGGTTTACCCTAAATCTTTCACCAAAGCTCGCAATCCTCCAAGTCTAGCACTGCATCAAAGACTGAACGCCTAAACGAACGAGCACTACGGCTGTCTCTCCGAGTGCCCGACGCGCGCAGCCACACGACGGGGCTCCGTCACCACAATCCGACCTGACGGCCCACCTCCGCAGCCGGTTATGCAGAGAGTTGAGCTGTAAAGCTTTATGATCATGGACTTCACTCATTTAAGCGACCCACCACAGTATCATCCCTGTCCATCTTGTCATCATCAGCTGCAGCAGCAGCGGTGGCGGTCACTCTTCCGCACAAGTAACAGAGTGCCAGTATGTCGTGGAATTCCAGCGATGCAAATAATGGCTGAGCCACCAACAGTCAGCAAGATCGTCCATGAGGGCCAGCGGCACGGCCTGTAGAGACCCTAGGGAACGCAGTGGAAGTCGGGCACACGGTGCCACAGATGATACCCTGCAACAGCCCAGGGTATTACTACTGCTTACTATTATTATCAGTAGTGTCCTTATTACTGGTTGTTACTATTCTTACTACTTTCCTTACTACTACTCTTATCCTCATTACTCTCCCGCATGCTGCCGAAGCTGGCTCGGCAAGATGCAGCGCAGGCCTTAACAACAACAACAATGATAATGAGAATAGCAGTACGAATAGCAATGATACTAACAATGATGACAACAACGATAAAACCAACGGTATAAATGATAGCTAACTTGCGGCAAAGGTTTAAACACTGCAATGTAATACTGTTTAGCAGTCCAACAGTTGGCTGCCCCCCACGCGAAGATCAAATGGGCAATGTCGCTTGCAGTTTCGGTGCGTGACTTGATGAAGGCACGCCAGTGCACGACCGCGTGTATCCAGTAGACTGAACCAACATTAGCACTCTTGAAACTTGTGCACATGACCTCGAACTTTGGATTCTTCTATCCTTTCCGAGGACACCGCGGTGGTTTTGCCCGCCCCGGGCGGTGCCACCTCAAGTGGATGATGGATGAACACATACCTTTTCTGCAGAAAAGATGCTAGGCAAAGCTGGAGTGGGGCTGCTCAACATGTACATCATTTAACCGCAGGACGACTCCAGGAGCCACGTTTTTGATGGCCGATGGTCAGAACAGGCTTCCGAGGATGCACGTACAGGTTCATTAAGTTTCATGAGAATCCGAAAGAGCAGTAGGCCCTCACGTGTTGGACCTGAGGGCGTCTCCCTGCTTCTCCTCGACCGCCTTGCAACTGCCAGATTGCCGTCGCGCCTCTCCGCAACTTCTGGCCGCTGCTAAGCAGCGACCATACAGGCATCTTCATGCTCGCTGACGGGCTGACAGCGGGCTCGATGTGATCTCCCATTCCCTGGGAATGCATCAGGACACTCGCCAAATCGCGTGGCATCTCAGGCGATGAGAATCACCACAACGATCATGGGCTATGTGGTTGAGAGCACCTGGGCACAAGTTCAGAACAACGTCAAAAACATGTCTCTTCGCAGGATGAGAGGCTGGGCCAACCGAAAGCCTGCCGGCACAGCAAGACTACGACGGCTCAGCACACCTTGCATGCAAGCTGCTCTGCTCAAGATATCTTCCAGAGTGCTCCGCAGGTGTTCGTCCCACTTTGCGACGATGGCTCTTTGTGGGTAGTGGCGCCATAGGAGACGGAGAGCTGCAGCAGCTTCCCCTCAGCTCGAGAAGCTGCAAGCGAAGAAGCTATTACCATGATATTTCTTATCGTCGACATTTGCAGGTGCTGTTATTCTGAGTTATTCTTGTTATAATGTACCATTGTTACAAATGCTAATGTGTTGCTTATGATGACTCTTTCCTTTTGACCACCACCACAACCACAACAACAACAGCGACACCTCCACCTCATACTCCCACTCCTACTCCTAGTCCTACTCCTACCCTTACTGCTACTGCTACTGCGACGACACCACGACGACGACGACGACTAGGACTACTACTAATACTACTACTACTACTACTACTACTACTACTACTACTGCCAAGTTACTCAATACTAGCCGCTGCTTCGTGGGTTTTGGTTGGAGTTCAGCAGCTTCGGCGTTAAGGTCGTATGTGGCTACACGGTTTCTCGTGTTGTTTGTGCTGCAGAAGGTAAGGTCGGGGACCAAAACTGCCCCATAGCAAAGAAGCTCTAGGACTCTACGACGGCACTTCCAACTTCCTGGGAAATCCGAAAAAGCCAACAAACCGGTCCCAAGCTGACATAGAAGCTCAGGTAAAGGCTGGCGGCCTGTGAATGCAGGAGGTCCTGGCAGCAATCATTCCCCAGAATATATCATACAAGGAGTAATTCGCCTTGGCTGACAATGTCTATCTTTGGGACAGCAGCAGGACCATATATAAAGACTGTGTTCTGAGAACAACTCTTGTACTTGTGATCATCACCTTTAAGAGCATGCAAAAGCATCTTTGTGCATCCTTTCTTCGGTGTCCTGCACGGCCACGAAGCCCCGGCGCAGCTTGATGGCCCGCACGATACGCACCAGGCGAAGAAGCCGAAGCATTCGGATGGTCCTGGACCATTCGGCCTCGGGTCAAACCGCAAAGGGGTTTGAGTGTTTCCGAAGATAGGGGGTGCCTTACTTTGGGGTCTTTATCGTAAGGGTCCTACTATTAAGGGTATAATCTTACGTTGGGGTCCTTATAATAAGGACGACTGTTTGGGATTTTGTCTAAGGGTATCTTAACACTCATAAGATCTCTTAGTCGTTGTAGTTAACCAGCTCAAACAAAGAAGCGCGTGGGAAGGGTCTTTCGCTCCGTTGCGACCCGTGGCTGCTGCCACCGGTAGGGCAAAACAGCAGCTAAGTTGTAGTCAACATATCTGACATAGACAAAAAGAGTTACCATGCGAATCCCCGTCATCTTTCAAGGTTTGGGACTTGGTCGACTTACACTTACAATAGCAACAGCAGCAAAGATACTACTTATAGGGTAGACCACCCTCCATGTCCAAACCATGATAACGTACGAATCCATCCATTGGCTAGTGCATCCATGCCCAAATCATTTATCAACAAAAGTTTCCGCGCAGATGCATATTTTTTTTTGCATTTCTGCTGCCAATATCAGTATAACTTAAAGGCATGTTGAACAATGCTAACATGCGACAGTATCGGTCTTGCCATGCTTGTTCAACATTGTTCGAAGTCGGGGTGAAAGGATATGTTATGCAGAACCTGGCCTTAAGCCTCCATCCCGTCCTGTCGTTGCACTGCACTCTCTAAAACCACAAAATCCGGCCGCGCAGAAACATCGGGTTTTTTGCCCGACATATCATCAGAACGGGACGCCCGGTGCTAACATACGAAAGCATATGCCCTGCCATGCTTGTCGCGATTTGTTCGACGACAAACTGGGGCAAACGACGGTGATCCACCCTACTTGTAGCTGCAGCTACTACAAGAAACTAACAAAGAGTAGGAATAGGAATAGAAATAGGAACAATAGCAACAACAATAGTAATCTTACATTTGTCTCCACCGGGCCAGGCCACTGGGTTTCCGGTCAGGGTCACGTGGTCCATGACAGTCACAGACCTCGGCTCGGGCTTAGGCGGGGGCTTCGGGGTTTAAGCGGTTGGGTCTCCTGGACCCTGCGAAGAACTGCGCTCTAAACCCTAAACCCTAAGCCCTGAACCCTAAACTCAAAAGCAATTCCTACTGCCACCAACAAGAACCTGGCCACAGTCCCATTCAAAGCGCTAGTAGGCTTTATGGCTGGGGGTAGGGTTTCGGGTTTAGGGAAGTCACAGAGAAGTGCCGGATACATAGAGGAGCGAGCAAAACAAGATTTCAAAAAAGAGGAAGAACAAACGGAGGAACAATGATGATGCGACACACAATCGATAACAATGGCCACGGAAGTACTGTTACCTGCTACACTTCAAACCATCGCAATTCTCGTGGTCATCATGAACATAATCATCAACAGCGCATTTTCAAGAGCCGTAAGCAAGACAGGGTTCAAGACCAAGTGGCAAACGCTTAACAAAGGAACCTCCCAGGGTTTTCACCTAATCTGACTTCACCGGCCCCGAAGCTCCCGAACCGAAGCCGCCCTCATCCAACAATGCTGGAGCTTAAGTTGCAACTGAAACATTTGACCCTAAACCCCCGCGCAGCCCTGACCCAAGGACACTGGATCCCAACATTTAAACTCCTAGGCCAAGCAAGAAGAGCGGCCAGTCCATGAGAATGAGGAAAAGGTCGAAAACCATCCATGTCTTCGCATATTGCCGGGCCACCGCGACTCGGTCCATCACCAGAGATCCCTGACGCAAAATATTCGAGGCTTGCGGTGTCAGGAGCTTTTGCCTCTCTAGGAAGTGGGTGGATTTTTTGCAGGTCCCTTGGTTGCCAGGGCCTTTCGCAACATGCCCAGCTCGTGCGGTTCTTTGCTGTCATACACATCTATACACTTCACACAATCTGTGTTTCGGGCACAGCCAAGTCTGTGTCGGCAGAGAGTTCGGGGCGACTAAAACAACAGTGCAGGCAGCTTCTTCTCTGCATGCTCATCGACATCCTAAACCCTAAACCTTAAACCGCGACAAAGCGTGGAAGCCCAGAGCAACTCTCAGAGCCCAAAGCCGCCTCCGAAGCCTAGATAGTAGGGTTCCTTTGAAGGGTAATAGGGTTCCTGCGAAGCGTACGATAGGTCGCTTTAAGGATACTACAGGGTTCTGTCATGAGGTTCCCTTTACAGGCCACTCCCGGCGCACCCATATTGTATGAACTGTTGCAATATACGATACTTTACTAGACTGTAACGGAACATATGATGCACTCCAGTAAACCGTAGTACGGTTGATGATATAAATCCTGCATTACCCATAACAAGGGATACACCATAATTCCCATAGTTTTTAGGGTCCTTGAATATCATCAACCGTATGATGGCTGCCTGGTCATAGAAGCCGGTGAGGAATGCGAGACCGAAATCCAAATTCCAGAAGGCCTGTGAGGGCTGCAGTACATTGAAGCTTTAGAGTTTAGGATTTAGGGTTTGGGGTTTAGGGTTTAGGGTGCTGTTGTACCTGACATTATCTGACATCACGTAGCGACGCGACATCGCCCAAAATGCAACAAGACACAACACAGCAGAAAGGAAAGAGCATGCGGAAGAGCTAAGGATTGTCCTTGCTTTGGGAATTCGACTGAAGTCTCGGGCTGAGAGGTTGTGGGACATGCGAGAGAATGGAGACAGAACACAGACAAAACAAGTAGGAATTGCAGTGTAGAGCGAAGTGGAAGCAGCAGCAGCAGCAGCAGCAGCAGCAGCAGCAGCAGTAGCGGTCGTCGTCGTCGTAGTCGTACTACATTGTAGTCGTAGTCGTAGTCGACTTCGTAGTCGTAGTCTTAGTCGTCGACGTCGTCATTGTGGTAGTTGTAATAGTCGTGATAGTCGTAGTAGTCGTCGTAGCAGTCGTAGCAGTCGTCGTAGTCGTCGTAGTCGTAGTAGTAGGGCTGGTAGTGAGCAGATGTTGATGTGATAGTGCCGGTGCTTATATGTCGTGACTGTGGGTATAGTGGTGCTGGCATTGAAATTGATGTCGCTGATACAGCTCGCGCTGCTGTTGTTGTTGTTGGTGGTGGTGGTGGTGGTGCTGTTAAGGTTGCACTTCCTCTTGTTGCTATCCTACTTGCTGTTGTTGCTAATGTTTTTGACTCTGTGTGTTCCGTACTACTCACACAGGTAGGCGCGTAGAATTCCGAAATTGACGCAAACCACACCGCAAGCCCCGCTTGAGCAAGACATTCGCCTGGATGCCGATGTCCAGGGCCTACAGGGCAAGCTTGGACATACGTAGTAATATGGGGTTCAGAGTTCGGCATCTCCGAGTGCGGGATTGTGGTACTTCGGGTCTGAGATGTACAAAACAGTGGGTACAGGGTTTAGGGTTTTTAGTCGAGCGGCCGATAAGCATTCCACCTGTGTGGCCTTAGCGGTCTCAACCCTACACTCACCAACCGCCGTGCAGGATCACCCCTAAACTCTAAACCCCAAAACCTTCAACCCTGAAACCCTAAACTCTAATCATGCAATCTCGCGCTCCCAGCACTCAGAGAAAACTCTCT